TTTTCCATTCAAACGTATGTATTTTACCATATGAGGTTATTTTGTCATATTTTCTCGAATAATTGTCCAATTTAGAAACCAAGGATATCCTCGTACTCAGTTTTCCTGGCAGTATCACTTTAAAGATGAAATTCACAAAATTTCAGACCCCTGCTAATTCTCCATTGTCCTTTTAGTGTAATACCCTAGTTTTAAATGGAATTCAATAGTTTCCATGTGTCCACTTAAATACACAAAAAACTCCAGGTTCCGAGGCCTATCTAAATATTAAAAAAAGGTATGGCTTCCATTGACGCACTAGGTACCGTAAAAAATCACTCTTACCAAGGACCAGGACAAGAATTTAATAAAGTTCGAAAATCCATAAAAAGTCTCTTCCGGGAAAAGATTAAATGAGCTCGTAGGATCGAAAGTATTTCGTCGCTCATCCATAGAAACAGCGTAACAGTTTATTTAAGTGAGCTTTGGGCAGCATATGGATACAATAGGAACAGAGCTCATCTTAAATAGTCGCCCTTACCCGGTAAAGATATGAATTAATTGCACTATGAAAACGCCGCCCCGATCATAAATTTCGACTAGTTGGATGTATTCACGCTAAAAAGAACTATGTTCCACGCAAACCCTACGCACATAGTTCCTTTTAGCATAAATACGTTCAGTTGTTCCAGACTATGTAGAAACTTGCCCCAGGTCTGATTGTTTCTCAGTTGGCGTAAATCTGTTTCGGGCCAGGCGCATCTTAATCAGTAGCGTGGCGTGCGTGAATTGCGATACATCGATTGTTATGCCATTTAAACCTATGGTGCAGAATCGATTATTAAGGTGTTCGCTGCGAACACCCTGTTTATCGATCCTTTTCCATAGGTTTAAATGGCATAACAATCGATGTATCGCAAAGCACGCCACGCCACTGCTCAATTACTCACGGGAGGAAGGGAGTTGAACGAGTTTGTGCTAAAAGAAACTATGTGCATAGTGTTTGTGTGCAATATGGTACCTTTTAGCATACGTCCAGTTATCTTAACAACGAGGATAGGAATTCAACGATCTAGCTTTAATTAAGATGTAACCGCCTTAAACGTTATTGTATTAAAGATTCTGAGCTATCAAATCAGCTTGAAAATATTTTTCAATTAGTTTTTTCCCCCTTTTTTGTCTGGTAGAACTCGATTGCATCGTATTTTTGTGTATGTGTGTGTCTCATTTTTTGGCTTTTTGTTCTTGCAAAGAGCGAACATAAACTGTTATTAAAAATAATAAAATGTTCAATTCTCGTAAGACTTCATTAAAAACGCTGCGTATACCTATATAGATTGCTCTTTTTAACTTACTGAAGTAAGATTTTATGTTTTGGTCATGAAGGAGACTGTTAAAGCGTGGTAACAGAGTTCTGTATACATAAGCATAGTAACGCTATAAACCCGTGTGAATAAAGTCATATCCACAGTATTATTATGAATATCATTATTATGAAGTTGAATTGAAGTTATTCGATAGTTCTGATTGTTGCTTAATGTAAGCAACAGAGACTGATTAAAATGAATTTCTTGCCTGTTTGACGAGAACTTCAATCGGTTCGCGTTGAGATCCTCTATGATCGATTATTTCAATACGCACGAAGTATAAGAGGAGACCACTCAGTGCTAAAAGAAGTCTTTTAAGGTGTTCACCTACTTTTCCATTTATTTTTTTTACGGGGGTAAGGGGTGGGGAGTGGGGAGAGAAATGCAATTTTTCAATTTTATTCCTCTACTATTTTCTCCTCACTAATGATGTTGGTTCAAAGACAACATGATTGAACTCTCCACATAATTCATGCATACCACGTCCAACAAAAAGGAATGAAGTGCGTGAATTTCATCATACGATCGGATAATTTTTCGGGAATTGAATACTGTCGTGCTAAGGAAAAACACCGTATAAGCATCCGAGAGTTGCCAAATTTCCTTACAAAATACCTATTTTGGAAAAAAGTTATGAAGATTCTTCTTGGAAATGTTCAGGCTTTTTGGATCAGATTACGAGCAAAATTTTCAGGAAATTCGATAAAAAATATTTTAACATTTTTCTGAAAAAAAATGGAAATGCGGCCACGTGTGAAGGTTTATGCGGCGTTCTTCTTTAGCACTGCATTTACGACCTTCCAGCCAAAAAAGTCGGAGCTTCCTGTCGAGTTTGATCCAACTTAAGAACCGTCTCTACCACGAAAAAATAATCAATATGTCAAAGTATTTGTGCAATGACAACAAACTGATTTCATTAAAACCATCTGTTTTCGGTAGCGCTTATTTCAGATTTTCTCAGAATTGTTTCGCTCTTAATAACCGTTGATTTATCCCCTGTCCCTCTTGAAATCTTCGGGTCAGATCGCACGTTTTCCTCGTGCGACACGCATAATTTCCAACGGGACGGCCGAAAAAAAATGACCGATTAATTACCGATTTCGCAGCATCATTTTTTGACGAAGGGTTCGATTCGTCAGAAGTATCATTGTCTAAACGATGATGAACGTTCGGGGGCAAGGTTCCCGTTATATTTCTGACGAGAAGATAATTTACGACCGCGGGGTATTTTCCTGGATGTTTTTCCTCGTTGACAAGAAACTGGATTTGGAACGCTCATGTTGCAGAGATTCGAGCGTTCCTGCACGCATGGGTTCGGAGAAAGATGTCCCGACTGAATTTTGGAGGTAAACATTTGCCAAGTCTTTCGTACTTTTTTCTTTCAGAATTGCTCAAAACGTCGCCTGCACCTACGTTCAACCCTAATGTGACGTCATAATACGCACAAGAAAGAAAATGGGCCACTATAGGCAAGGTCTCAACTAAAAAGAAATGTAGCACGTTTTCTCTTCAAAATCCTACGTAGAAAATTATTCGCGAGGTTCAGATATCAACGTCTGCGGGCTGATTGTTGAAATTGATGGACAAAACTAAAGAAAAAGAAGACAGAAGGATTATACAGTGATCCTGTTGGTTGAAATAGGTGGTTCCTATGGACCAAGGGAGAAAATGATGGACTAGCTGTCGAGTCTCTCGTAATTTGCCGTTTGTTAGTCTATTATCTACCTCCTTTGTCCATTGCAACTAACCACACCCACCAAAAAAAAAAAAATCAAAAATCCAAATGACATCCTCAAACCTTCCAGTATCACGATGGAAACCGTATGGAGTCCCCCCCCCACCACCCCNTACGGCCCATGCAGGGTGTCTAGTATTTTTTAAGTTTGAAAAATCCTGATATTTTCCTGATTTTTCGACAAAGACGGCGCGACGACTCCTGGCACGGTAGGCAAAAAGCAGTAAGACTTCTTCGCTGAGGAGATTCGCGCAAGAAAAATTTCTGATAAAACGTCCGATTTTTCCGATTTTCCTGATCGGCCAAAATTCCTGATATTTTCCAGTTTTTCCGGTTTTTACTGATGCTAGACACCCTGTATAAATACGGCCCTTAGTCCTAAACCGAAAAGCATCTACTGAACTGCTCGGTTCGTGTAACCGGCGAGGTTTCCATCTGCTTGTGTCGTCTGACATACGCAGTACACACTTCCGACTTTGGAAGGCAGTAGTGCTTGCCCCTAAACATCCGCGCTGCCCATCCTTTTCATTGGCGGATCCAGCAAATCAGCAACATTGTTTTTCTCCGCACTTAAACCTATGGAGATATCGATCATTTAGCATAGGTTTAAATGAAGGGAATCGGGTGTTGCCAAAATGGTGGATCCGCCTATTATCCTTTTACGCTCCCTACCCCTCCCTCTACACTCGCACGTCAGTGCGGCCCATGAAGCTTCCTCCGGAGTCCGGAGTAATATTAAGGGCTCAACGTGGCAAGAACGAAACTGGTTTCATGTGAGGCGGCTGCGGAAGGCGGGGGTTAGAGCATGAGTATCCAAATCTGTCGTCGTCAGGTTTTCGGCGGCCTCGTGGTCGACGTTTTATCCCCTTCGAAAATCTCGACATTCCCGTTTTTATTAGCCGGGGATTCGTGTACTGCGCGCTTCTGCCGTGCTAAGGAACTGAAAGAAGAACGTAGTATGAGCCTTCAGGCGTCGCCAAGTTTCTTTTGATAAAATGCGAATTTATTGGGAAAGATAGGAATATTTGGATTGCATTTTGCAAAAAGGAACCACTAGCATTGCAATGTTGCTAAGATTGTGCGACTTCTTTTGTCTTGGAGGAAAAACCCGATTATCCATTAATAGTTTCTATTTTACTCGCTAAAAACTGTAAATTTAAGACACGAATTACCATATAAATTTCATAGTTTTTCACGATGTTCGCAATTTTATTGCAAAAGATGAAGTTGCACAATCTTAGCATCGTTGCAATGCTGGTGGTTCCTTTTTGCAAAATGCGATCCGTTTTTTTTCCGACTCTTCCAACAATATTGCTCGCAGTCTAATTTAAAGTATCTGAGAATTTCAAGGGGAAATGTGCATGACTTCCTTCCAAAATAACAATTTTATCGGAGGAGATTTGGCAACTCTCGAATGTTCATACGGCGTTTTTCCTTAGCACGGTAAGTAGTGCTGTCCACGGCAAAAACGTAGTACGTAACTCCGTTTCCAATTTCTCCTTCTTCTTCTTCTACATATAGCTCAACTACCAAAATGACGCTTGGAAGAGGTTACAAAACTTCTCTAAAGACAACGGAGAGTGTTCCTGCTTTGATGAAAAAGTATGACGTTCCGAGAGTATCCACACTGAAAAATGAGCTCCGGCCGTAGAAACCGTACTAACGGGCTATGTAGACATACCGTCTGCGTTCCGGGCTCAAAGGCCGAAAGTTCCGGGCGTAGCACCCGGAGCAATCAAAGCTACGGCTGCAGCACCCGGCAGTTTCGGCCTCTGAGTCCGGAATGGATGTTATGTCTATAAAGCCGGTAACTTTTTTTTTCAAGACATCATTAATTTTTGCCTAGCAAAATGCACTCTATCGTTTTAAAAATACACGGAGAGAAAGATAATAAATTCAACCATACCTTTGGCTAGTTCGAAGCACCGTTCAAGAAGCATGGTCAAATAAACCAATATCCGGTTAGGGCTGCGGGAAGTGCTCGATCGGCTGCAAATGTGAAGGCACCTGAAAAGAAGTAAAAAAAGAATGTAAAAGCATCTGGAAAGGTAGAAAAAATGAGAATGCAGAAGGCATAAACCTGCTGAGTGCATAGCTTTTTGCTTAGGAAACTATGTTACGCGCCCTCCCATGCGAAGGAAATGATGAAGCGCTCACATCTTATGTGAACAGCAATGTTAAGGCAACCCCAACAAATGGCAAAAGCTGCCTTCGAAAATGTGAGAGCGAAGAACAAATTTTTGCACCCCTGTCTTTGGTCCAGTTCACTCATTTCTAAGTTGACTTGAACAAAAAATAACGCAGGAGATTAGTTTACAGACGAATTAATTTGTAAGCAGGGTGTCTAGTTTATCTTTTATTTTGGGAAATCCTGATGAAATCCTAATTTTTCCTGATTTTTGACTGCTAGATCCTGATTTCCTAATTTTTCCAAATCCTGATTTATTGCGGAGAAAAATTAAAATATCTGCATAAGCGTATGCGAAAGCAAAACCCTAGAATTAAGTTCTAAGGCGAATGTAACTACACAAAAATAGCTCGATAAAAAAATCCGATCGGACGGCCGACTTTTCTCAAATCGTGATTTTACGACCGGTTTTTCCTCAAATCCTGATGAAATCGGGATTAAATCCTGATTGACCACAAATCCTGATGGAATCGGGAAAATCCTGACGCTAGACACCCTAGTAAGCCGAAGAGGGCTTTATTTCTTCGTCTCCTGGGATCATTTCTCAATTTGATTCACTATTACACCACACCAAACGATATACATTTTCCGGAAACAAAATGTTTCGATTTTGGTGACATTTGGCAGTAAATAAACGGAGCTTCGCTTTGGATTTGTCAGCTCCGTTGACGTCAGCATAGCCGGAGTAGGCAGCAAAAGGAAGAGGAGCGCCCATTCAGCATTTGATGGAACGCCAGCAAAATTTTCAGCTGAGTTCAACGTTTGCCGATTTTAGTTCATTGTTCCGAGTAAAATTCATCGCGAAGACTTGCACTTCCTCGAACGGCCACTATACTTGCCGATATTGACGTATCGACTCGTCTACACCGAGAACAATGGATTGGAGGAGTCAACACTTTAGTTGTAATATATTTTTTAATGGGTGGACGGATATACCTTTTCGTCTCGGGCGAAAATAGCCTAGTTGCTGTTCGTCGTAGGCAATAGATGAATCGGCGTATGCGAAAACGTCCAATGTCCAATACAGTCTTTCAGAATTTGAGTGAACGATTTCGATATATCTTAAAGACATATTAACGGTTTAAGAAGTGAGGGATGTAGACCAATTTTAGAAATAATCCCTGAGTATAGTTAAACGTTTACAAAAGAGATCGATTTGTTCATCAGTGTCGAGGGGCAAAAGAAGCCACTGCGCACTGCAATTATGAAACCCTGTATTGGACAGAGGACGTTTTCGCATGAGTAGATTCATATAAACTAAGTAACTAAGTATATATGGATTGCATTTGGCAAAAGAGAACACTGGAAAAAAAAACACATTGGATCTAGAGTCAAGACTCGTAAAAACATCGACAAGAAAATGTTCTCTTGATTCAATCAGAATCTTGCTTAAATCAAGAACCAAGCCTCTTAATCTAAGCGGATTTCGTTTTGATTCAAGCAACAATCCGATTGAATCAAGAGTATTTTTTCTTGTCAATGTTTTTAAGTACCTGGAATCTAGATCCAATGTGGTTTTTTTCCAGTGAAAGAGCACCATTACAGTGCTGTTAAAATGTTGCTTCTTCATAATAATTTGAAAAATCTCACAAGATAGCGAAAAGTTTTTGCTTTCCACCAAAAAATTGATAACTTAAGGGTAAAAATAATTGTGTAACTTTTACTATTGTGCATAATTATATTTAGTATTTTGAAAAGAAAAAAGAAGTTGCACGATTTTGAAAACACTGTAATCGCGCTGGTTTTTTTTGCTAAATGCGATACAAACAAATATTTCGATGTCCGAAGTGCGAGACTTCATACCTCTGATTGCGAATTTGTAGATTTCGCCTGTCATCCATACTTCATTTTCGCGTTGAAAAACTAGTTACGATAATTTGAAAAAATAATTGTGAGAACTAATCCGATTTTTCTTCTGAGTTAACAAAACCTTCGGTAAAAATTTCATGTTAAAAAAAAAAAAAAAAAAAAAAAAAAAAAAAAAAAAAAAAAAAAAAAAAAA